CCTCAGACAGCACGTGGGTGCTGGGTGTGCGGAAGTGGATGTTGAGCACGATGACGCAGATCACCACGACCATGGTCACCAGCACCATGCCGAAGAGCAGGAACCTGTGGACACGCAGAGTCTGGAGACCAGCCCCCCAAAATGCGAGGGGCATGGTGGGGGCGTGAGCGGTGTCACTCACTTGCCAATCAGGGGGATGGCCATGGACGTGGGGGGCAGCCGCTTGGAGATGAGCAGCAGGAAGACAGACTGGGCCAGGAGCACCGAGATGGCCACTGACGTCTTCTCACCACCTGGGGGGGCCCGGGCATGGCTGCAACCGCTGCCCCCCCCAGCCTGCCCCGAGGGTCCCACTGTGGTCCCGGCCTCACTGTTCACAGCGCCAGGCTGCCCAGATCAATGTCATAGGCGATGGCGCTAGGGTGCCCCGTTCAAGTCCTGCCTCGGTCACTTCCTGGCTGGCTGACCGTGGGCCAGTAGGCCAACCTCTGGGTGCCAGTTTTTCAATCGTTAAGCGCCGGGAGGACGAAGGGAGAGACCACATCCACTGCTCATCTCCCCGCCGGCTGCCATGGGCTGATCCGCTGCCGCTCAGCCCTCCTAAATCCCTGTTTTGTGCGTGTCCCACCTCGGCTCGGAAAGCTCCCGAGCACCCTGAGTGCACCAGGCAACACCTCACTTCTTAACCCTTCACTTAGAGAGCCCCGGCCCTGGCTGCTCCTCCCACTTGAGCCCAAGGCAGACACGTGGAGGCCGAGCGTCCCCTCCACAGCCCTGTCCCCGCCTCTTCCCTGCCTCTGGGCCCCCCAGCCTGGCTCTGCTCAAGCACCCCATTCCCAGGAAACCTCCCCCAACGCCACCCTACCCCTCCCTTGGGCCGGGGTTGCTCCTGCTGTCTCCATGGTGTCGGCAGGTGTCTGCCAGCCGCAGAGGGCAGTGGCCTTTACCTCGGGCACCCACTGAGCCTGGCTCATGGGAAATGTTCTGAAACGATTCTGGAGCCAAGTGAGCATCCATGACAGACACCCTTGTAGAAGCAGAGGACCGTAGGCTGTGTGAGCCCCTGCTCTGGCTTCCCAGAGACCCCCTTACTGGCCCACAGGCTCAACATTCGGTGCCTCTTGGTGCTAAACCCTCAGTCACACACGGTGACTTGACAGAGGCTTTCTCTGCCCTGAAGGAGGCACAGTCTGGGGGTGCTCCCCAGGGTCCTTGGGAAGTTGTTGTGTGGCAGAAGTAGGGTCCATGAGGAACAGAGCTCCCAGGGCTGCTGGACAGGGTCGCAGGGCCCCGCTCTCTCCTGCCAGCCGCCCGGACCCTGGGCGGGCAGCCCCAGGAGCAGTGAGTCCCAGGAGGCAGGGAGGGGCGGGGCAGGGGCAGCCCTGGGGGCGGGGCTCACTGTCTGCCGGCAGGTAGAAGACCAGGTTGACCATGAAGGAGATGAGCACGCAGGGCACCAGGATGTTGATGACGTAGAAGAGGGGCTTGCGGCGGATGATGAGGTAGAAGGTGACATCCTGCTGGCCAGGACTGTCCAGCGGGACGCTGGGGTCCATGTTGACCCGGGCCGGCCGGTGCACGATCTCCCACTCCCCGTTCTCTGAGGCGACACAGGGACACCGTGGGGTTGGCCAGCCCCAGGGCCAGGGCGACCTCGAGGCAGGAGGAGGGGCTCGAGGGGAGGAGCAGGTACAGCGGGGGTGGAGATGGACGTTTCAACCTCTAAGGGGGAATTCTCCTCTGGGACTGATTTTCCTTCCTCTCTTTGGAAAGAACAGAGCCGAGGCCAGATGTGGCTCAAGCAAGGAATCCCGGGGACAGCCAGGCAGTGAGCATGACACCCTCGCCCCGCGAGACGGTCCAGTCTGGGACCAGCGGATGAAGGTCCCCCCTGGTGGACAGGGGCATGCGGTGGGATCCCATAAAAACCCGAGCCCACAGACAGGGGCTCTGGGAGGATGCCAAGCCCCCTCAGCACGACAGCCGAGGCCCCCGCCTCACCCCTGGACCCTCCCAGGACAGGAAACCGCTTTCCTTACCTGTCAGCCCCCTTCTTTCCTGGGGATCCCTGCCCAGACCCAGAAGGGTCTTCTGGCCTGGGGGGCAGAGGGGAGCCCTGGCATCTTCTATCTACCTCGGGGACACGAGCCCCACGATGCTGAACGGGCAGCGCTAAGTGCGATTCTCAGCGGGGTGGGCATGTCTGCTCCACCGTGTCCGTGCACCTGGCAGTCCCTGCTCCAGTGCATGTCCGCGTGCGCTTCAGGGGGGGCCTGGGCCCCTGCCCGCCCACCAGGCAGGGCCCCGGCACCTGTGAAGCCCTCGGGGTCTATGATGATCCACTCTACAGGGTAGGAGCGGCCGTCCTCTTCCTCCTGCTTCAGGCTCAGGGTGATCTCCTTGGCTGTGTACTTGAGCGAGCTGCAGAGGGCAGTGGCACAGGCTGGGCCTCAGTCACCGCCTGGTGCCACTGATGGAGAAAATGCTAATAAAGGGGGCTCGGGGTCAGAGTGGGCCATTGTGGGGAGGGGGCTCTAATCAGGACAGAGCAGGGGCCTCTGTTCCGGGGGGCATCACTCATGTCCCTTGGCCACTGGCAGACTGCCCTGGGGAGCAGGGGTAACAGGAGAGGTGGGCGCACCTGAACTTGAGGGAGCAGTTCTGCCAGTCGAAGGGGAAGTAGGTGACAGAGATGGGGCAGGAGGAGCGGAAGATGGCGGGCGGCAGCCAGTACACGTAGCCCGAGGGGTAGAGGAGCACGTTGCAGGAGTAGGAAATCTGGAAGGAGCCGTCGTTGCTGGGGGACAGGGCCAGGGCCGCGTGAGAGCTGGCCAGCTGTGGGGACCGGCATGGTCGGGGGAGGGTGGCAGGAATGGGAGGGCAGGCGGAGCTTGGGGCTGGAGGGGCACTCAAGGAGGGGGGCAGAGGGACGGGGGGAGGCCAACTTGTTCTCCAGCACAATCTCTGGGAGCCACAGCATGTCAGGGGGCAGGCGCAGGACGCTGATGTTCCCAAATTCTTCCACATCCCACTGCAGCCGGCTATCCGTCCAGCCCTGGAAGTCCCAAAACATGTCAGCAGCAGGCTCTGCTGTTGTCCCGCGGCCCCGCTCCCCTGGGGGAAGACCGAGCAGGGTCTGGGAGCTGTGACAGAAGAGGGCTGTGGAAGGTGGGAGCAGAATGAGGCCTCAGGCCGCTCATGTGCAGTTGAGAGGGATGTGCACTGTGCAACTAGGGGACCATCTGTCCACGGGGACCATCTGTCCACGGGGACACAGCAGACTTGCTTCTGTGTGATGACTTCACACAGGTGGCAGGAGGGCGCCTGCCAGTCAAACCAGGATGCTGTGATCATTTGCCCATGGCTAGGAACCCTCGTCCACCAGAAAGCTTGCTGCGGGCTAGTGTCTGTACGAGGTGGTAGGAAGGACAGTTGGGCCTGGGGTTTCTTAGCAGGCAGAAGCCTGCCCCTCCACAAGGACAGCATCTGAGGCAGACTGGGGATCCCCAGGCAGTAGCAAGCACAGAGGAACCTGGACCCCCCAGGAGTGGGGTGTTCTCCTTACGTGCTCAATCCAGACATTAGAGGTGAGGGTCTCCTCGACTTCTTTCTGTAATCAGACAGGAAGGCTGTCCCCAGGACCCCGAGCCCTTCTTTCATGTGCACACGTTCGCCAGACACCTCCGCCCGGCTGCCCCCCAGGAGAAACCATGGGAACAGCCCCACCGGACTCCTGCCCAAGCAGCAGCCTTGGGTAGGCAGGCCAGGGGGCAGGGAGAGCACGTGGCTTCGGCAACGGGTCCTGGATGTCCATGGGGCACCCGGCACTGAAGCTGGAGATGGGCCTGAGGCCTGCGGGCGGGGGGAGGAGGGGCTTGGAGAACCTGGGAGCTCCAGGCAGAGGAGCCCCCACGGGCCCACGGGAGCCCAGTGTGGAGGGCGTCTCACCAGGGAGATGAGGTTGGAAAGGGTGAGGGCCAGCGTGACCTCCACGCTCTCCTCGGTGTGCGCCACGGGCCGCAGCTCCTTGTTGTAAGCCTTCTCCTCAAACAGGTGCCGGATCAGCCGCTCCTCCTGGTTCAGGCCCCAGCTGCCTGCAGAGGGACCCCACGGGAACACGGGCTGGGGCTGACACCCAGGAAGGGAGAGTGGGGGCCGTGGGGGTTGCCCCCCTTCTTCCTTTCTCCAGGAAGAAAGGGCAGAGGGAGTGAGGTCTGATGCAGGGGGAGGGAGCATCCTGGAGGAGGGGGCAGGCGAGGACCATGCCGCGGGGGGACCCCCTCAGCACGGGTGACGTCTGCTCTTACCACACACAGCCAGGGCGGCCAGCAGCCCCAGCGTTAACTCCGGCGCCTCCATCGATCGCGTCCCTCTGACCGGGTGGTGTCTGCCCCGGCTGCAGGGCTGGAGCGGGCGAATGTGGGGGGAGAGGACAGGTGCAGGGCGGTGGGGGCAAGGGAAGAGGCTGCCGGATATGCAATCTGACACTTCCTGGCTCCGCTGCTGGGCAGAGGCCCTGGCGCAGGTGATGAGGGGGTGAGGACAGCCGGCTGGCGCCCGAGGACAGGAGGCCAAGATCCCCAGCCGGAGCGCCCCACGGCCAGGGGTGGGGGCTGGAGGGAGACACCGGGCCTGGGGCGCCAGGCCCGTCAGCCGTGGACAGGAGAGGAGGGACAGGCAGACAGGCAGGCTCAGCTGGGGAGCTTCGCAGTCCCCCTCCGGTGTCTCTGTAACTTCTGCGGATAGTTTCTGGAGCGGGGCGCTCCCTGGGTCCCATCCCCAGAAACCTAACATCCATCCGCTCGGTTCCCACGCCAAGAAAGCGTGTTGTCTCTGCGGATCATAAGTACCATTTATTAAAGCAGCCGTGATTTCCCGAGGGCCCGTCCGGGGAACACACTGGCCTGCGTGCCCCCGCCCCTATGACCTCTCCGCTGTGGGGGTGGCCACTGGTCATCGGGCTCCCCGAACCCTTCCAGCTGTAAGTGGTTCGGACTTGACTATGGCTGCTTGGCTGGGGGGGTCTGAGGGTTGAGTGAGTGGGGGCTGCCCCTCCCCAGAGACTGGCCCTGCCTCACACCCACGCCCGACCCTCGGTTTCTGCTTCTGCCAGAGCGGCCCAGCGGAAGGCCCGCACGGCTTGCACCAGCAACCGCGGGGGGCTACGGGCCAGCGTGGCCGTCTCCAGGCCCACCAGGCTGCTGAAGACCACCGGCTGGCGCCCCAGGCCTGCCCGCACCCGGGCTGGGAAGAGCCCTGTCAGTGTCTTGGAGCGGAGGTCAGCCAGGACCTGCAGTGGGAGGAGAGAGCTCAGGGGCCCACACCCCAACCCTTGTGAGCCTCCTCCTGACTCCCAGAGACTCTCACAGACCCACTTCCCCTTCCAAACTCCCAACCCGCACATTTCCTGCACACTTGACACCCCTAAGCCCCTCCAGTCACACCCCCTGGACTCCCTGCTCACCCTCCCCTCACCCAGTGTGCAGCTCACAAACAGCTGCCCCCACCCCTTCCCTTTGCACCTCCCACCTCCACCCTGTGCAGCTGGGGGGAGGGTCTTCCCTCCTTCTGGGGAGGCTGCCCCTCCCTGCCCCCTACCCATTAGGTCAGCCTTCTGAGGCTACTGGGAGGCGTCTGGGGGGCCCGGGACTTGCCTCCTGAAAGTCCATGGCCAGGCGTTCCGAGGGGACCTGCAGGATCCAGGCATGGCTGTCCTGAAGGGAGGCCAGTTTCTGGCGCAGGGTCTCCAGCCCAGGGCAGCCTGCAGGAAGGCGGGAAGCCCTGGGGATGAGAGCACTGAAGCAGCGTGGAGGCGGGCATGGGGGGTGGGGCCTCCCAGAGGGCGGACTGTCACGGCACAGATGGGGAAATCGAGGCCCAGAGAGATGGTAACTCCAAGCCGGAGCATCTCCGTTGACACTGACAAAGGCCCAAACAGTCATCCGCCCCGGGGCGGGCCCGAGGAGAAGGTCTCCCCTTGCCCCAAGGGGTAACTTCCGCAGCGCAGACCCAAGGGTCCAGGGCACCCGCAGAGAACCCCCTTCGGTCCCTGCCAGCCCTTGGCCGGCTCCTCTGGCGACGGCCTGCGGGGGTGTCATTACCGCCAGCTCCCCGGCTCTGCTCAGGTTTCCTTTCCCCGACCTTGACGCCGGCAGCCGGTCTCCCGGGAGAAGCCGGGTAGGGGAGCGCGGGGGCTGGACGGAGCGCAGGGCCTGGGCCGGGCTGCAAGGGCGCGGGGTGCCTGGGTGCAGCCTCCGCTCGCGGGCAGCCGGCAGGGGAGGCTCCCGGGGCTCCCGGGGCCATGGAGCGCGGCGAGCGGGGGCCGGATCCAGACGCAGGATCCCCAGGCCCGGGGGAGCAGCTCCTGCGCGCCCCGCAGCGGTCCCAGCAGGGCGCGCGCCAGCGAGTGCAGCTCTGCGCGAGGGAGACGCGTCCCAGGGGCGGCCAGACGCGGGCCCGGCCCCTCCCGCCCCCTGCAGCCGCGGGACCCCGACCCACCGTCGCCGCCGGCGCGGCTGGCACAGCCCGAAGCTCACACGGACGCGCGAAGAAGGCGCAGCGCGCGGCGGCTCGGCCTGCGGGTCCTCGGGGCGCCCCGGGCCAGAAGCTCCTGCAGCCGGCTCGCGGCTGGAGGAGGCCGCTGGGGGGGGGGCGGGGGGCAGGGACCAGCTCACCCCTGCCTTGGCCCTTGGCCCTCCCCCGGAGGGGGCTTCGCCGACGCGGAAGGGGCCGGGGGCGCGCAGGGTGCAACGGGGACGTCCCGGGCCCGTTGGCGGCACAACTGGGGAGGGGACCCCGGAACCGGGCGCTCACCGCTCATCTGCTCCCGGAGCCAGTCCTCGAACACAGCCACGCGGGTGTGGACCCCCGGCTTCCCCGGCTCCCCGCATCCGTCCCCCAGGAGGTGACTCCATACAGGACCTCTGGGCGCGGGGCCAGGTTCAGAACATGTCAGGGGTCTCCAGAGCCCCCTGCGGAAACAAGAGAGCGGACACTGCCGAGACCGCCCCCCTCACCCGCGGCCTTTCCCCTGGCAGGTCCCGGCAGCTCTGAGCGCTAACGGGGTCCCCACCAGCCCTCGCTTTAGCGCAGGGGAAGCAGAAGCTCGGAAAGACGCTGCCCGGCCCCTGGGGAGCAGCCCACTCAGTGCCCTCCCGGCCCAGCCCAGCGGCTGGGGCTCACACCTGGCATGGTCGATGCCCCCTGCCAGGTAACCAGCACCGAACATGGCCCTCGGGCAGGTGTCAGCACTGAGCAGCGGCACCTGGGCCTCCCTCACCATCTCAGCTTCAGGCCCGTCTGCGGGGAAGAGAGCGAAGGGGGTTCAAGCTGGGAGGGCAAAGCCTCCCCCTCCACTTTGAGGACCCCCCACCCCCATGTCCTCCTTGATTCCTCCCCCTTTGCAAGACCAGGCAGCGTTTTGCGGAGGTCGGATTCCACACTCCCCGGCTTTCCCAGCGCCATTCCAAGGGCCCCCTTCTTTTTAGGCACACGTGCGGTGCACCCCGGTTTGGCCCTGCCTTATTGCCTTCGATGAGTGCCCCCCAGCCCGCCATGGGGCACACGGTGCCGGCGGGGGCTCCCTGACACCCTGAGGCAGGCACACGGGCGCGGCCCCAGCGGGGCCCACGGGCGTCCACAGCTGCACCAGGGCCAGGTCACCGTGGAAGGTCGGGGAGGGGGGCGGCGCTCAGCCCACGGGGCGCGGGGTGGGGGGCTGTTCTCAGTTCCGAGGACCTAGGAGCTGCCCTCTCACCTTGGGGTGAGGCAAGATGCGGCCCACTGGCACCTCCTCGGCTTGCACCCCCGGGATCCCTCGGCCAGCGTCACAGTCCCCAGAAGCTCCCTGGGGGCACGAGGCAGGGCGAGTGTGGCTGATCAGGCGGTCGGGGGGTACCGTGAGGTGCCCTGGAGTCCCCGCTCACCGCTCACGGGCACCCCCAGCGAGCCCGCACCCCGGGCCGTCTCTCCTCCTGGGGCATAGCCGCGGCGGGGGACACGCCACCTCCGGGGGTGGCGGAAGGTGCTGGGGCGCGGTGGGGAGGGGGAGTCGGCGCGCGGGTGGGGAAGAGCTGCGCCCCGGCTGGACCAGCGCGGCGCCTGGAGGTCGGGGAGCCAGGGAGGACGACGAGGCCCGCCAGAGGGCAGCAGAGACCGGCCCGCGTGTGACGCGTCGCCCCGCCGGCTCCCCCCACCACCCCGCAGGACCCGGGAAAAGAGAACTCGCTCCGGGGACCCCGGCTGGGCAGGGTTCTAGGGGCCGACCCACCCCGCGAAGCAGTGCGCCGCGGTGAGCACCCAGGACCCAGGACGCACCCAGGACACCGCAGCCTCACCAGCCAGGGCCAGGCCCCCCCAGGCGCCGCCCTGCCCCCCACGATGCTGCCGGGGACCTGCTCCCTTCACAGAGCGCGCCTCTCTCCACACGGTCCAGGGAAGGCGGGCGTGGCGTCACCAGGGACAAGTTCAGGCCATCCCCACCTCGGAGGCCCCTGCGGGGTCTCATCCCTGCCCCTCAGGACTTTCCAGCCTTGCCTGACTCGAGGGGATGCTGGAGGAGGAGATCTTGAGGCCTGGGGTGCCCAGATCCTGCCCAGAACAGAGCGTTGAGGCTCCTTGCCACGCTGGCGCCTTCCCTCCACCTCAGACTCTCCCGCCTGCTGTCACCTCCTGCCCCTCCCCACCCCCAGCATGCCAGGTCTGTTTCCGCAGCCAGAAGTAAGCCCGGGCTGTCCTGCCCTGTGGCCTCCGCACAGCTGTGCCCAGCCTGCCTGCCCCTGCCTGCTCGCAGAGGCCGTCAGAGGCATCGTCCGGCCGCAGCCCCACCTCGCCTCTGTCCCTGAGAAGGAGGGAGGCCCGCAGGGTGGGGCTGCAGGGCAAGTGGCGCAGTGGTCAGGGCAGGCTCACCAGGGCGGGAGGCACTGTGGTTGGCACAGCCTGGGCACCCAGACAGCCTGTGCTGCAGCTCCAGGGCCGCGCGAGCCACCGCCCCCCGGGCGCTTCTCTGGACAGCCTGCAGCGCCTTCGTCCCCTGGGCGGACAGCGCTGCTGGGACATGGCCTGACAGTCACGTGTGGTTGGGGAGGACTTCGGGGTGGCCCTTCTCACCGCAGCCTGGGAGCCCTGCCTGGGGAGCCCCAGGAAAGCAGGCTGGGCTCGGAATTCTCAGCCTGCAAACCTCTGTAACGCAACTGAGCTGGTGGGGGCCTCTCGTTAAAAACCTTGAAGGAAAAGCACCTGCCCAAAGGGACCGGCGTCACGGAACTCAGCAGATGGACACAGAATACCGGCGTGGAGTGGCCGGCCCCCCTTTGGGCCTGGAGAGCCAGCCTGGGGATGCTACCCTGGGCCCTCTGTCCCCTGCGGGACCCAGACTTTCCCCGCAGTGCTCTCCCCTCCCTTCCGCCCTGTCCTCCCCTCTCCCACCTGAATGGGAGCTCAGGTTTCCCTGCCCCAGACCCACCTCCTCTGTGCTCCGCCCACTGGGCCAGCCTTCAGGCCACCCCAGGCTCACCTTGCAGGGTGCTGGGGGGCAGGCGCATGTACAGTGGGTGCCCATTGGTGGACTCCCGGCCCCGGAGGTGCAGTAGCAGCAGCAGCAGCAGCAGAGCCAGCAGCATGGAAACCCTGTCCTCCCCCACCTGGGGTCCCCGCTCTAGGCACTTACCCTCTGCCTGCTGCCCGCAGCTTTCTGCCCCTGGGCACTGGATTCCTGTCCCTCAGATCATCTGGCGCTATTCTCTTACCTCGAAGTCACCTGCTTCCTTTGGTTGGCACCTCACCTGGCCCTCAGCTCCTGGAGCCCACAGGGAAATGAGGTGTGGGTGCTATATAAGGGCAGACTGGGGGGGCACAGAGGCGGGGGGCCAGGGTTGGGCAGGGAACGGGGTCATGGGTGTGACCCTCACCTTTGAAGTCTCATCACTGGTCAAAGGAGCCCCTGTTTCTGCAGCTCCATCAAAGAGGCCTGGACAGGCCAGAGGAGCTGACAGTTGGGCTGGGGGCCAGGCAAAGTGGGGCTGGGACGCAAGACTGGCCCCATCTCTGGTGGGGGGAGTCCCATCTGCCTCAACTCCGTGCTGGAGGCAGACACTCCTGGACAGGCAGGGTAAGGGGAGTTCAGGGGGTCCTCAGAAGCCCCCTTTCAGGAGGTGCCAGAGCTCCTGGCCCCTCTGCCCCTAATTGCTTGGCAGTGTCCCTGCCCAGTGTGGCCATTTCCAAAGATGATCAAAGCACCCTAGTTAGTGCCGTAATTGCCGCACTGGGGTGACTGGGTGGGAAGCGGCAGCTGGTGTTGGAGTGGCCCGTGGGGACATGAAAGGGCCCACCAGGGGCCCAGTTCCGGGAGCACAGCCCCCCGCAGCTCCTGCGCTCCGGCTGGCTTGGCCTGCCCAACATTGTTCTCCGAGGCCATGACCCGGATCCGGCAGGAAGGAGTCTGGAGTCTCACGGGAAGGGCCCCCATGGGCAGATCCCCTGGGACCGAATTCCCACCTGTGGCAGCGAGGAGGGGTCCTTCTGTCCCACAGAATGTCCTGGGGGTCCTCCCCCAAATCCTGCCCCTCAATTCCTACTGGTGATCCCAAGGTGGCTTGGGCCAGGCTGGTCTTTTTCCCAGGAGATTCAGTTAAGCTGTCACCTGGTAACAAAGTGTCCTTTCTTCCCCAGCCCTGGCTCCTTCTGTTCAGGTAAATGAACCTCTGATGAAACTTGCCCTCCACCCCCTGGCCCCCGCCACCCCAAAGTCAGAGCCCAGACCTGCGGAGAGAGCCCAGAGCAGTTCTGGGGCAGGATTTGGTGGGTGGGTGTAGAAAGGGGAGAGTCAGCTCTAGGTGGTCCTTCGGCCTATTCTTTCCATGCCACTGGGGGGGCAGAGCATGCAGCAACTCTTGTTCTTTTCTGAAACGCTCCTCCCCCTGGATTGCTGGGTTCCACCCTCATTTTGTTGTGCCCACCTACTTTGCCCCCCACCTCTGTGGGTACTGACCACAAAGAAGTTCCATCCTCGGGGGCTCCGTCGGAGGCGGCTGCCCACCCTGTACAGGCCTGGCCTCACTCACAGGCTCCTGAGAGCCAGCCCTGGGCATCTCCTGCCAAGTCGGCAGTGGGTGGCATGTTGGTAGCTTGAAATCAACCAGGTGGGAGTATTTACACCATGGAAATCAGCAAATGGGCCAACTCAGAACTCTATTTCTTGGGAGCTCCAGTTCAGCACTGACCAGCACACCGTGGTGCTCCCTCAGTTACCGCCTCAGCTCCTGAGATAATACCTCTGATTCAGGAATCCACAAAAATGCTGTCTGAGCTGGGATTGTGGGAGTGGCTTTCATAGATTTCATTGGATGATATTCATTAGATTATCTTTCCATCTAGATAAGCTGGGAGCCTACATAGGACACGTGTGTCTTCTTGATCCTGATCGCCAATTTCTTGATTGCGAGGATGTTAGGCCTGTATTCATTTAGCAAGAAAGTTAAATTCAAAGGAATTAGGGAAACAGGAAGAAAGAACACAGTTCAGATGCATTCACAGAACCTGGAGTAGTGTTCTGGAACAGGAACCGAGTGAAGGCACCCATGGGCCGGCTCTGGCCCAGGCTTTTATCTCTTAGGTCAAATGAAGCCGTATGAAGTTGCCTTTCTTTTCATCAAAATGACTGATGCATTTCCCGGTGGCACAGGGGTTAAAGACAGAGCTATGACGCTATCGCCAGCCACTACAGCACAAGTTCGATCCCCTGCCAGCCAGGGAGCTACCCACATGGCGTAGCAGACCTCTCCTGTCTCCCCGCTGCTCCCCTCAGCAGTGTGTTTCAGTCAGTCTGCCTGTTCTGTTCCCCGCTCTGTCTCTGGTGAATCCTCTTACCCCCCGCACCTCTGGCTTACACCCCTGTTCTTATATGCATAAATAAATAAATCTTTAAAAAGAAAAGTGAGTTGTCACAGCTTTATTGAAAGTGCTTATATGTACAACATGCCCCAAATTCCACCTTTCTGACCATTTAAACATGATGGACACCTTTCAATATGAAGCCATGTCAATTATAAACCTTTTAAGTGAACATATGCAAAATTTTGACTATCACAACCCTGCCTGTTTCCTCTCTCCTCCTGACCTTTTGTCTTTTTCGTGATCCTTCATACGTTTTCTTGCTCTTCTCTCACGCTTGCTGTCAGCTGTTTCTTTGAAATTCCTCCTTTAATGCCTTCGATTTCTACTATCGGTTACATTTCCCCTCCTCTCACCTAGTAGATATTCCCTTATTGATACTTCCCATTCTTCTTGCTTTCAGATCCTGTAGTTAACTTGAGATGATCTTTCTAGAAAACATTAGGAAAGGAAAAAAGGTAATGTACAGGACGCCAGTGTCTCCTTTTCTTGTGCTTTCCCTGAGTATTACTTCCTGTATTTTCTTTTAATATAAATTAAAATTAGATTTAATAATTCGAGTTTAAAATATTCAATCAGAGCCCTTCTTATGGCAATATATCTGTCAGTTTGTCTCTCTAAACTTCTGTCTGCGTCAGTGCTAAAATAGATTTCTGGAAATGGTGGTGATTCACTAATTATGTCTATTTCTGATAGCGAGATTTATTTTTAATTTCATTTCACTTTTGACTTTCTTCTTTGTGCTTCCCCAGGTTGCTTGAATTCTCTAAAATCAGCAGGTAGCACTTATGCATATGCAAAACATCAAGATGAAAGAAAAACGCAGGGCATGTCCTAGAAAGCTTATCAATGAAAGGGCTGTATATTTCACCCAACAGATACTATGTTCAGAACCCATCAATATAGATCAATGTATCAAACCTCTATGATAGCTGTTGGAGGCAGGGATTGTAAGACCCATTTTACAGATGAGGTCACGGAGGCTCAGAAAAGCTGAGTGACATGGCCAAGACCTTATCAGTGGAACATGGAGGAGCAGAACTCAAAAACAGTTGGACCTGCTGCTGAAGACCATGCCTTTGAGCACCCCAGCCCTGCCACCTAAGTCCTTGGGGGCTGTGCCAAACAGCTCAGGGCTTGACACAAAGGTCAAGAATCTTCTGGGAATAGTGGAGGGTTTGCCTCCGCTTCCCTGTGCAGGGGCAGGAAGGGAGCTATGACATTTGTGATGACACTCGGAGGTGGGGGTGGGGTCTGCAAATGGCAGACAAAGCTGACAGCGGGAGGGGCTGGGAGGAGTTGGAGGGAGGAGGACAAGGAGAAAGCAGGGCTACTGATGCCACCCAAGTCCCTATAGAATCCATCTTGCACCCAGGCGGGCTGCACTCCCCAGAGCCCCTGAAGTCTGGGAAGCCCTCTGGGGGGCAACTCAGCCCCTCTCTCCTTTCTGAGTCCAGTTGCCAGATACAGAGTAGAAGTGTCCCACTAGGGGCCCCTCCGCAAGGCCTCAACAGCCTCTGGCTGGGCAAGTCCAGCCCTTTGCCCAGAGCTCTAGGCCAGAGCAGGGCAGGGACCTAGGGTGGGGGAGACACAGTTGGGGGGGAGCCAGTAAATCCCTGGAGGTGATTATGGTGGTGAGCAAGGCATAAACAAGGTGATTTGCCTGCTGCTGCCACCGCCTCTGCACACGCGTGTGCGCACGCGCACACACATGCACGCACACACACAGTCTGGAGATGCTGAAGCGCAGCCCATTTGCAGGGTAATGGCTTTGCGACAGCAGGAATTATCTGCAGCATTAGAGGCTGCCAGGCTGGGTTGGCCAGGTGGGGCTGCTTGTGGGGAGGGCTCAGGCTGGGCCTGGGCAATGCCAAGAGGGAAGGCAGGTGCCCCCAGGCTGGGTCGTGGACCCCAGGGGACGCTGCAGGGCTGCATGGGTGGGGACTGCAGAGGGCTTGCTGACACCAAGGCCGGGTGGACAGCCCTTTCCTTCCTCCTTCCAATGCCCGGCAGTGACAGATGTGCAGGAGCACCAGCCCAGGCCGAACCCCTGCCCAGAGTGCCCGGCTCCGGGCCAGGCCTCAGGGTCACAGAGCTGCTTAGAGAGGCAGAGGGTGCGGAAGGAGGATCCCCTCTTTCACCAGATCAGGAAAATGAAAAGAGCAACGTCCTGGACCGTCAGAAAAAGCCCCAAGTGCCTGATTCAAGCCCAGGACATCAGGGCCCGTTCTCCTTAACCAGAGAGCCTGGTAGGGGCCTCAGAGCCCAGGGAAGAAAGGGGAGCAAGCTGCCCCTGCCAGGCTTCTTAGGACCCTGAAGTGTTGCGTGATGTGGGGGTGAGGTGGCCCTGGGGCTCCCTCCCCAGGTCAGGGACAATAAAGCGGGGCTCCCTGACTCTGAGAACACCCTCCCCACCTGCGGGCACACCCGGATTGCATTTGCTGAAGTGAATCACTGGAGAAATAAATCCTGCACACATGATTAATGGGCGGTAGGGAGGCAGGCAGCGCCACGCAGAGCCGCAGGGGACAAGAGTGACATTCGGGCACAAAGCCAGCACAGCCGACAGGCCTCTTGGGAGGGGGGCTCTGGTGACGGTGCAGTCACCTGGATCGCTGTGGCTCTGGCACGGCCACCCAACAGGAGACCGAGCCTGCTGGCCCAGCCCCAGCTCGGCTTCCCATCCTTGCAGCTGGGGCAGAAGGGCCCCATTCTGAGCTCATGGTGCCCCTGTCTGGACCCTGACTGCTCCTGGCATTTGGGGGTCCCCAGGGATAAGAGCCCTGAAGATATAAAGCCTGCATTTCAGGAGCAGGGACAAGGGCTGGTTGGCCGTGAGTCCTTGCGCAAACCACCGCCTGTCTGTGCCTCAGCTCTTCTGAACAATGGAGCAGGTGCCAGTGCCTCCTCGGGAGGTGGCTGAGAGGTGCAGCTGCAGCAACCCAGGCCAAGTACCTCTTGGGGCGCCGAGCACGCAGGGGCCCTCCCTGTCAACAAGGGGTGTTCAGCTTCTCTGATCTGCTGTGTTGGGGACTGGGTGACAGTCCCTGCCCTTGAACTTATACACTGGAGGAAGGCAAATGTTGAAGAAATAATAATAATAATAATAATAATAATAATAATGCCATAATATAAGCCATTTCAAAAATACAAGGTGCTGAGAAGGAGAAGGCTGAGTGAAGTTTGGGGGACACGAGCTGTGGGGTTACAGTCTGGAAGGCAAGGCCGGCCGCCTGAAGGTATTGAACACAGTGAATTTTTTGTGGCAAAAAACCCAAAGAATCCCCCAAAGATCAACAGTACCCTTTATTGGGGTTGTTGAGAAACAGTGTCATCCCTGCTTGGGGAGTAGCCAAAGGTACAAGCCCCATGCAAGGCAAATGGCAACACCTCCTCAAATAGCTACCAGATTACCCAAACACTCTCATTCTGTAACTAGAACCCCCACTCGGGACTTCTCATCCAGCAGACAGGTGCCTCAGCAGGTGCCCCAGCAAGCGCCCCAGCAGGCACAGGGACTGACCGATGCAACAGCAGTGGAAAGAGTAGGAAAGTACCAGCAACCCACGTACTTAGAAAGTGAGTCCCAGGGCAAGTTAGGGTTAATTAGGCAGCTGCAGGGAGCAGGCAGGAACTTTGGGAGAGTTTAAAAAGCTTCTGAGATAAGGACAGAGAAATCCAGGAGGCTAATCACGACAGTAAATGCTAAGGTTAATAAGGAGAGTAAATTTTAAGAGACCTTGGACAGGGACAGTGAAAGAAAGATTAAGATAAGAGCTGTAAAGCTGGACACAGCTGCCCAGGGACGTGCAGCCCCAGAGAGCCAGTCACAAAGAGGATGACGACATTTTAGAATAGAGAAAAAGGTTTAAATATGCCCTAAACACTGGCCCAATCGGCTTCCTTGCCCCTCCCTGGCCTGGTTCCACCAGCCTGGGATCTATTCCTGGCTGGGAGACTAGACCTGAAAACCTGAAATTACGGTGTCAAAAGGACTGAGTTAAATAAACTGTGTGGAGGTACACGATGGAATACTATGCTGTAGGGAAAAGGGCCGTGAGCTGTACTGCTATGGAAGGCCTGTCAGGCTACATAAAGTTAAAACTAAATGTGGAACAGTGTACAGAGTGTAATACCTTTTAAAATGGAAGATGGAATACAAGCATCGATTTTAATTTTCTTTAGTACTACATAAGAAATTAATAAAAGTGCGACCTGGAGTGTATAGTGAGTGGGAGGGAACCAAGTGCGTGGGAGGTGGTGGCAGGAAGACTTTCAATTTTGTGTTGCTGTGATTTTTGAATCATTGGATGTATTATTTGCTCAAACAATTTAAAAAATAATATATAAGGGACTCTGTTTCTTCCTGGAGGGGAGAGGGCTCCTTGGTGGGGTCAGCCCAGGGATGAGGTGCCAGAAGCCTAGGGAGGAAGGAGCTGGTCCATGGATAACTTACTGATTCCAGTACTCCCGCTCAGAGATTGTCCAGGGCTGAGCACTGAAGCGCTCGTGATTCTGAACAAACCAGGCTTAGGGGCTGCTCCCTGAACCTTCGAGCAAGGACCCGATGTTCAGGGGAAATAAGCTGGCGTGGCCCCTACGGCCTGGATTCTTGGCCCTGCGCTTGCTTTCAGGAAGGTCAAGGACCACATGAGTGGGACCTGCGGGAGTGACCCGCAGATGACCAAGGACAGAGCTGGAACTCACGGTAGAGTCTGGCAGAACACCCCCCCCCACACCCCCCACACCCCAACACACACACCTGTTGGGGTCAGGAGAGGGCATGGGTCCTAGAACAGCCCTGAGGAAGCGAGGGGTTGGGAGCCCAGGAAACGCCTCCTCCCTGCCCAGTCCTGCCTGGGCCCAGGCCCAAATCAGGCATGAGGTGCCTCCTGGTGCCCTCCCTGAGACTCAGCCTCAGACCACCAGGAAGCCCTGGGCGAGCCCCAGAATCCCCAGCGAGGGGCGGGTAGGGTCTACGTGAGACCATGGCTGGTAAAGCTGGGCAAGGGATTCAAAGCCATGAAGACCCCAGCAATTCAGGGGGAGCAGTTGAAGAAAGATCTTAGTGACTGTGGCTCACCCACCCCCAAAGCCTCAGGAGAGAGAGTGGGGTTCCCAAAGCAGTGTTCCCACAGCGATCCTCCAAGTCCCTGCCTCAGACCTGGCCAGCAGAAGGGCATAGCGCTCTGCCTTAAGTTCTCCTGGGACTCAGGAGGCCTCTCTGGTTGTCTGCTTCCCCCTGATCTCCCCCAGGGCAGTTCCTCTGTTTTCTGATCGTTGTTTCAGGGCTGAAGTCACAGGTGCTGGGCACCCCACATCTGCTTCCTGACACAAGAGGCCCTGGGTCTGAGATTTAGGGCTCCTCTTGCCTCATTGTTGTGTCTGAGCACCCCCAAAACTTCCCTGCTCCCTTCTCACGACTTTGTGGCCAGGCAGATCCTTAGGGCAAGCGGCTGGGTACCTTATACCCACGAGCTCCCGTTTTGCAGATGAGGAAACGGAGGCACGGAGAGAGAGGTTGACTCACCAAGGTGAGCCAGGTTTCCAGATTTGGGTACGAACCCTCTGAGGAATAAAACAGGGTGCAGGGACGTGCCCTCAGTGTCAACTTGCTTACACGGTCCTGGCTGAGCCCAGAAGAAACAACACAGTGAACAGTAGTTAATAAAGTCCGTCAGACCGTTAATTTCAGGCCCATCTCAGCATTCCCAGGTGCTGCCCAGGCCCCTCACAGATGCTTCTGTAATAAGGACTATCTATCGTCACCCCACTTTACGGAGGGGGAATGAGTGAGGCACAGTGAGGGCCCACAATCTGTGTGGGGGTCACACAACAGAAAGGGGCAGAGCTAGGATTTGATCCGACCAGGCAAGGTCTGCTGCCTGAGCAGGGACACCAGCACCCCTGAGGGAGCCATGAGGCCCCGCGCGGCAGCAGGGACGGCCTCCCCGCGTCCCCTCCCCCCCGGTCTGTCTGGAGTCCATCTCCGTCTTTGTCACTAAGTTCTACTCTGGACCCATCCTATCTCCTCCCCCTCCAGAGCCCCCCGCCTGGGACCTGGGGTTCAATGAGGGAGGGGCTCCGCCAGTGTGGGAGGTGAGCTGGAGAGTCCATGTCCCCCACCCCAGGGGGTTCTGGTCCCTTCTCCTCCACGGAACAGGGAGCCCAGGGTGTGTCCACATGACTGAGGCCCTGCCTGTTGGCCTACGCCAGTTCTGACCGGGCCCCCATCCTCACCCAGTGCCCTCCTGGCCCAGGAGGCTCAGGGCCATGTAGAGGGACATCAAGGGCCAGAGATATGCCCCCTCCATATCTCTCAGGGAGTCTGTCTCTGTCTCTGCGTCTGTCTGCCATGCCCTGCCCTGTCTCTCTCCCTCCCTGTCTCTTGTCTATTTTCTGTGCCTTTGTTTCTGGTCCGCCCAGCTGTCTCTCCTCTCTGTGCCCCCCTTCCTCAAGTCCGTCCCCCCCAGTTCCCCAAGCCCTCCCTTCCCCCTCCTTGCCCCCACTCAGGTCCTTCCAGGGTTTGCTCCTAGGAAGTCTCCTCCTCTCTTCCCAGCCTTGCTGGGGGCGGAGAGGGCCAGGAGCACATTCCTCTTCATCCAGGCCTAATATCTTAATGCAAGGCCATTACTCACCCCCATCCAGGCAGGGCAGGCCTCTCCCCTCCTCGTTTGTCATCCAGAGTGAAGCCTCCACGTTGTTCCTCGGGGATCAGATTAAGGGACTGACAGGCTGGATGAACAAATTTAGCTGCCCACACCGCCTCCCCTGAGCCCTCCCGCCCCCGCCCCCGCCTCCCAGGCGGGGTCCCTGAACCTTGCTGAGGGGAGGGTGAAGGCCTCAGAGGGATCTGCTTCTAGTTCTGCTCCTCCTCAACGTGCCAGAAAAGGGGTGAGGGTAGCAGGAGAGAGGAAGCCAAAGAAACAGGAGCTGGGGCCAGCGTGACCTGGCCCCGGAACTGTTGAGCATGCACTCTAAAAAGTGAACCATCACCCCTGCAAATTGTCCTGAAAGCTCGCCGGGCCCTGCTCCAAATCCTTTACCTGTGTTCATTCATCTCACCTCTACAGTCCCTGTGAGGTAGGCACTGTTACCTCCTGTCAGAGAGGCCAAGTGACCCTCCCAAGGTCACACAGCTAGTGAAGTCAGTGTCAGGCATGGTGCTTTGTGTCTTTGTTAATTTTCTCACCATGTTATCTGTCCGCGAGAGGTTAGTGCCAGGTTCCCCTGCTACCCAAAAGTAGAATTTTCCGAGTTGGTATGATTTGCTAGGTTATTTTGGGGGTCTGGGAACGCTCTTAGCATTAACCTACGTGGGGGAAAAGAGTGGGTGTCCCTAGACCCATTGAATTAAACTACCAAGTCATACTGAAAAGGAACATTCTACTGTTGGATAGTGGGGGGAACCTGTATCTCCCCCTTTTACAGATGGGAAAACTGACTCCCCCAGCTCCCCAGGTCTAGAAGCCCCTGGCCCAGCTCTGCGTTGCACCATGGTCCTGGTCTCCCTTTCTCTTGTTTCCGGCAGGCTCAACTCCGCTCCCTGTCTGCAGGTAGGTGTGGCCACAGCCAACCTGGGGGACGCTGGAAGGAGTTTGTGGCTGCCGGACTGAGTCCATCTGCCTCATCTTGGGGCTACATCCTCCACCAGGGCTCTTGGTCACAGAAGCAGTGTCTAGGGGTCTCATCACCACCTCAGACCTTATCACCCCACTAACTAGAACCGAGGATCTGGAACTCAGATCCTGGAACTGGAAGCCAAGTGCTCTCTCCCTGGGGAGAGCCAGGAAGGGGCTGTGGGGCCCACCTGGAGCCTTCCAGCTGCTGCCTGGACGCCAACTCGTTCCACTTGCCACATCAGCCCGGTTCCCATAGTAACCACTGGCTTGCTGTCTCCTAGCAACTGCGTGGTCCGGGGAGAGAGAGTGGTTGACATTTGAGGTCAGACAACGTGGGTTCAAATCCTGGCTGTGCCAAGCGGTGGCTGGGGGGTCTTTGGTAACTCAGCCTCTCTGAACTCTGCTTGCTCATCTGTGCAATGGGGATGCGGTGGCTTCAAGTTTAATGAAGCATTTTAGGATGAAGTGGACAATGTGTGAAACTCTGACGGTCATGTGACCGTCTGGGGGCACTGTGGAGCCTGGGCAGGAGGAGTGGGAGGTGACGTTGGGGTTCGGGGAAGGTGCCCCAGCAAGGGCGGGCTTCCCATCGTGGAGGACCTCGGTCTAGTGTGCCTGGCGGTCCCAGACCCCTGGTCCCTCCAGAGCACCCGTCCTCAGGGTGGGCTTCCTCAGGGCCCTTCAGGAGAAAGCACACCCCACAACAGTCTGCCTCCCCCTATTCAAACTGCAGGTGTCGGCCATGCCCGAGTCGGGGTAGCTGGATCGCCTTCCCAGACACCATTTCACGTGCCCCAGTGAAGCAGATTCTTTGTGTTATTTCCCAGTGTCAGATGTGGAAACCCGCTCAGAGAGGTTTACATACCTGGCAAGTTCTCACAGCTCACAGGAGGGGGGGCTGGGATTGCAGATGGGGAGGGCCCAAGGATGAGCTTGGGGAGGGGGCGATGGAGACACACGGGCGGGGCGGCCTGACTGGGCAGGTCCAGAGCACTGGCCCTGGGCCAGGGGACCAGCCCCGGCACTGAGCCAGAGCACCCCCCCCCAAGTCTATGGTTCTGACAAATTACCTGGCAGCATCTCTACCCCCCACCCTCCCCCCAAAGTGCCTGAGAACACCTCTCAGAGGAGGGGGCTGGGGCAAGGGTCGCTGCCTTGCTGGTAGCTCCAGACTAGCTGCAGCACTTATGGGTGATGAGGGGAGGGGCGGGTAGAAAGGAGGGGGATCTGGCACCGGGGCCAGGAGCAGGGAGGGGTGCCCAGTCCCCGGGGCAGGGGCAGGGTAGGGAGACAGTGGCCCGCACTGCTGTATCCACAGGGACCTGGTCCCAGCGCACCCCAGCCCTACCAGTGGGTGGAGGGATGGGGTGAGGGCGGCCAGGCCTGCAGCCACTGTCGTCGCCTGGTGGGGGAGGGACCCAGTGGGACAGCGCCCGTGCTCCAGGGGGAGCTCAGTCTCGGGCCCATCTAGAGGAGCTCCCCCCTCCAGGCCAGCCTCCCCCTCCCCCCGCCCCCACCATCCCCCTTGCACGCCCCCCCTCCCCCACCCTCCCTGCCCCCCTCACGGCGAGGGCCGAGGTCGCTGTGGCACTTCGGGCCGCTGGATTCAATTAACTAATTCCGACAAGACAGATGTGCTCTTCCCCGTCGCCTGCGCGGGCGGAGGGGCAGCTCCCCGCGAGCGGGGCGGGGGTGGTGACGTCACGGTGGCAGCTGACGTCATGGGCACCGGCTTCGGAGTCCCTCAGCGACCCGGTCCACCCCGCCCGCTGCAGAACGCGAGCTGTGTGTGCGTGTGTGTGTGAGTGTGTGCATTTGTGTGTGCGCGCGCGCGCGCCTGTGTCTCTCCACGCGCAGTCCCCCGTGGGGACTCCCGGGGCCTCGAAGGGTCCCCAGTTTGGCCCAGTTAGGCGGACTCCCGCTAAGGCCAGACGCCCCTCTCCTCTCCGCTCTGCTCCGCTCTCTGAATCTGCTGCCCCCGCCCCGCCCCGGGTCTTTCCTCCGCGCGCAGCGGGTGCACAGGTGCGCGGCGCTCCCCACACACGCACTCGCGCTGGGCACACAGGTGCGCGCCCGCGGGAGCCCGAGGCCAGATGTGCACACGCAGGGACCAGGGGCCGAGCGGGCTCCCAGGCGCACACGCAGGGCACACGCAGGGCACAGCCTGCACCCCTGCAGGTCGCACCCCAGAACCCCTGGCCTGGGCCCCTCCGCAGGCTCCTGGGTCTCCAGGAGGGTTGGGGAAGGGGCAGCAGAGGGGGGAGGGGAGGCTTTGTCAAGGACAGCAGCAAGGAAAAGGGAAAAAAAATGAAGTGGAAGAAATAAAATCAAAAGGCTTTTAAGGCTGCTCTCCCCAAGTAGTTGATGTCTTGGCCGCGATCGCGGGCAATGAAATATTGTGCTCTCTGATTGCTTAATGCACGGAAGCCCCGCAGCCCCCTCCCCCTGCCCAGAGGCAGTTCCCTCCCCTCCCCCTTCCCTGTCCTGCCCGCAGACCTGCCGCCTGCCTCCCAGAAGGGCCCAGACCTGCAACGGGGCACCGTGGATGCCCACTTCCAGCCTGGCACCGCCCCAGGAGGGCTCCAGGAACCACAGCTGCCAGGCCCGGCCCAGCGAGGGCGAGGGGGAGAGTCTAGCCCTGAGCGGGGACCCCTGCCCGGGCCTGGCAGCTGTGGGGCCCTCCCCGGCTCCAGGGGCAACTTTGAACCGAGCACCCTCAGCGGGGAGGGGAGGGTACGAGGATGCAATTGTGGCTGAGAGCCCAGCAGCCCCAGGAGGCGGGGGTTCTTGGAGGCTGTTGGGGGGAGGGAAGAGGTGGGGGTGTTTGTGGGTGGGCTGGAGCTAGGGGGTGTCTTGGCTTCATTCTCAGCCTTTCGTTAAAAACAGAGCTCGGGGATGGTCAGAAGCCCTGGCTCGCAGCCTCTGCTCCCGTCCAGCTCCGCGGCTTCCTGGCTCCGTGGCCTGGGCCGGCTGCGAGCCTGCGCGCCTGAGTTCCACCCCGGGAAGGACGGAGCAAATAACAGAACTGGCCTCACAGGGTTATTGGAGGATTAAAAGAGAAAATATATGCAAAGTGCTCAGCGCAGGGTCGGCGCAGGGGGGCATAAGTGAGGCTGATTATCTCGGTTCTTACTGACGCCGCCCCCTTCCCCAGGACCTGGAGCTGGAGCAGTGTGAGAGGGGGTCCTCCCCAACGTCCCTTCCCCTCCTCCTCTCCCGCCCATGCATCTGCACGTCCCCCCCCCCCCCGCAACTGTGCACTCTGCGCCTTTCTGTCAGAGCCACCAAATTGGCCAAATCTCCGTAATGCTAAAAAATTGGCCCATTAGCTGGCAGGGAACATTGACAGGAGGGAAGAGTGTTCTGTATTGTCCCCACGAATGTATGGGGTGGGGGCAAATGGAGGGGGCCCCTGGGCCCCCCGGGGGAGCCAGCAATTCCCTGGGGAGTGGACAGCCACAGGCTAGTGCTTTTGTGACTGTGTGTGTGTGTGTGTGTGTGTGTAGGGAGCTGGGGGACCCTGTAAGCCAGATGTGCTGCTGGGGCTTTCGTATCATCACCCCATTAAATCCACGACAGCCCAGGGAGTTGGGGCCACTGTCATTCTCATGGTACAGGTGAGAAAAGGAGGCTGAGACAAGAAGGCCTCCTGCAAGACTGCTCAGCAGCGTCAAGGAAGGACAGGTTCCCTGGGCTGAAATCCACTGACCTCCGCGGAGTTCCCTTCCCAGGTATTCCAGTGACCCCCAAGGCCCCCAGGAGACTCTCTGTCCTCTGTCCCTCCTCCTGGCCCTAGCTGCCCCACATGGGTTTCTCACTGCTGGGGAAGCCGGCAGGGAGCTGTCTCATTGGCACCAGCCATGCCCAGACTTCTCTGTGGAGAGAAACCGGTGGGGTGTGGCAGGGGTTGTTATGTGCCTGGAGGAGGCGGAGGTGCTCAGGCTGTCTGGCCCCCCCAGCCTTCCTCCTGGGGATGCCAGCTGGGTGCCCGGTCACTGGACCAGGCTCATCTCTGCCCCACTTGCACACGATCCCACAGAGCCACGAGGGCTGGTTTTTGGGTGAGGAAACAGACAGAAAGAGGCTGTGACCTGTTCAGAGCTAGGAAATGGCGCTGGGGCTTAATCCAGAGCCTGAGGTTTCGTTCTTTTGCTCCAGCAATGGGGAGCAACCCCAGGGGGTGTTGCATCTTACCTCAATCATGAAAATGTTTCCATTCATCCTTTCACTCCACAAGCACGAAATACCCCCTCCGGCCACCTCTGTGCATGGGAGGCCCGCAGCCAACACGACCCTTCCCTGCTCCCTGCCCCAGGCTGCTATGGACCCTCACCCCACCGCTGCAGACCCCGGTGTGCGCCGTCAGCTCCACTGGCAACCCTCGCCGCTCCGCTCCTGGACCTACTTCCATACGGATGCCAGCTGCCGAGCCCCCAGACGGTCACCACGCCTGCCCTCGACAGGCAACCTCTTGAGGTCCAGGCCCCGACCTCGCCTCTGCAGCCCTCCAGTGCCCACCCCCACTCACAGCAGCTCTCAGGCAGGGCGCGGGTCCTTGGCTGGTCCCTGAGGATCCAGCTACCCTCTGGGTCCCCTGTGACCAAGACATTAAGTCAGCGCCCAGGGCTGAAGAGAGCAAGGCTGGCGGCCTGGGGAGGGGCCTTCTCCTCGGCCACAGTCTGGTCCCGTCTCCCAAGACATCACCAAGGGGCCCCTGAGCTGTAGGATGCTGTCCCCCAGGTCACTAACTCCCACTCCGGCTTGACTGTCCACCCTCAGCTTGGCCACCATCCACCAGAGGTGAACGAAACCCCACAGCCTACACGGTCCAGAAAACGAGGGCACGTGAGGGCGGCGGGTGTAGGGACTGGCGATGGAAGAGAACCCAGCTCCTCCGTCACGTGACTCCTCTTGGTTGTCCTCCGCCCTCCGGTGCCAGTGCTGGTGCCGGCAAAGTTCAGCCAGAGGGTAGCCCTGGGCTCGGGCCTCAGGACTGGGCCGGGAGGAGGGGGTGGGGCGCCAGGTGGTTATGACCGGGCTCTAGCATCAGGCAGGTTAGGTTCAAGCTCACCCCTGCTGCTTCTCGGCTCTGGGATTCTGCAAGCTCCACCACTGCCACGCTCGGTTTCCCCTCTGCCAAGTGGGAGGGTAATGCTGCACCCCTCCTGGACACCCAGGACGCAGCGCCTGGCACGGCACGAGGCGCGACGGCAGCGATGGTGGCGGTGGCGATGATC